GAAGATTTCCGTAAAAAAAATAAATTCCCGGAAATTTTCAGGAAGATTTCCGTAAAAAAAATAAATTTCCGGAAAGCTTCCGGAAGATTTCCGTACAAAAAAAATAAATTTTCGGAAAATTTCCGAATGATTTATATACAAAAAATAAGTGCTTTAAAAGTCCTCTGCTTCTGAAGGCGTTAATTTTTAAAAAATTATAACTTCCGCAATTTTGGTCAAATAAAAAATATAGATATTTATTTATTTTTGATATAGAATTCTAAAAAAATTGTTTAATAAAAAAAAATTTTTGAGTGAAAATTTCAATGAAAATGACTCATTTAATTATGATTCAATTAATTTTGAAAAATATTATAAAAAAAGAAACTAAAAAAATTTTCGCATGGTTTAGTTAAAGAAATAGTACATTGTACAACTAGTGGCGAAAGTGTGATTTTTCGAGAGTGAAGTTTCCAAAAGTGCATGCAGTTTTCTTTCACGTTAAAGAATTTTGCGAGAAAAATGGACTGAGCTTGGGAGTTTTTAGTGAGCAAGCAATGGAATCTGTCCATTTCGATTTTAAATCTACTTGGGAGGTTAATAAGGTTTCTGCTGATCATGCGGATTATCCGCAAAAACTATTACGTTCTGTTTGACAGTATAATAGTTCACATATCTAGAACTTTGGTTTAATGTATTATTATTCTAAAATACTATTTGTAATTTAAAATCGTTTACATATGTTTGAATCAAATTAAAAAATATTTCAATATTGTTGAGTTCACATCTGTGATATTTATTTTTTGGTAGATTTGTTAACCAAAACAAAAATACGCAAAGTAGGTTTTCCGTAAAAATAATAAAAGTGTTTTTTCTCAAAAAGCCCTCCGCCGATTATTTTCATTTTTTTTAAATAAATCTAAAAAGATGTACATTAAGAATCCGCAAAAACATTTGCAGTTACTAAACTTTTTTATTAAAATTGCATTCAAGCTCACCGTGACACATGTACATAAATTACATACACATGTATACTGACTCATATGCAGATATAAACTCATACACCCAGTAAGAAGTAAGGAATTGAGAAGAATTGGACATTTTTAACTTTTTACAGAAAATGTTAAATTATCAATTTTTTGAATTTCGTTGCTGTCCAATTCCTATGTATTCCTTTTTGAGTGACTCCGTCACATAACATTTAAATTATTTAAAAAATTTGTAATATGAAAATTCGTTTATATATTAATTGAAAAATTATAGAATTTGTCTAAATAAACAATCAACTGAATTTAATATCTATTTAATAACTATAACATGAAAGAAAATTTTGTTGTAATAAAATATTAACATATTTAATAATTCATTTTACTAAACATTTAGTCAATTATAAATTTTTCTGTTTAATAATTTGCATTCAATGAAAGCTGCTTAAACATAAATTCTGAAAATGACATTTTGTTGCAATTTAAGTTTTGAAATATGCAAGTTTTAATAAATGTAAACTTTCCATTATAAACTATTTATTACCTAAAATATTTGCTAAACTATAATTCTATTTAACAAAAATTTATCAAAACAAAAGTTTCTTTTCAAAATTATTTCGGTTCAATAAAAATTTATATATTATGAAATCAAGTTTTTAAACATTCTCTTATTTCCATCTTCATATTAATTATTATTTTCATTCATTAGCATTAATTAAAAAAAACATTGTGTTTATAAACAATTTGGAACACATTCTTATTCTTATAAAAGAAAATTACATGAAAAAGAAATTTTGACAAATGAAATAAGGTCTATCGAATATTATACAGGATTTTTGTCGAGAATCGTCATGCGTCCCTTTGAAATTTCATGAAATATATGTCAAGATTTTAAACCAATTAATAATATTCCAAAATATTTACAAATCCGTTTAGAAGTTAAGTTTTCTTTGCTTCAATTCTATAAAAGTATCCAAAATATTGAATAACCTTATCATAATTATTTCTTTTATCATTTTCTTTATGCTAACTTGTTGTTGATTAGTTTTAATCAGGGACCGTCACGGAAATCAAATTTTGATTTCGTTACGATATTCCAAAACAGAACGAAATTATTAATGTATTTTGATTTTGATTCAGTAACGAAACAAAATTTACTTCCTATTTTGATTCTGATACTGTAACGAAACAAAATTTACTTTCTATTTTGATTCCGATACTGTAACGAAACAAAATTCACTTCCTATTTTGATTCTGATACTGTAACGAAACAAAATTCACTTCCTATTTTGATTCTGATACTGTAATACTGCAATTCGGTTTTCTTATAGAAACAGAAATCGATTCGAATTCTACTTCAGATTTCGTATGTAAAAACGATATTATCTTCTGATATATATTTGACATTTGCAACAAAATTTAGGTACAAGAAACTTATACATGCGCAGTAGTATTTTATCAAAATTAAAACAAAAAAGAATTTTGATTTTGATATTGGAATCAATAGTTAATTTGGGGGTATCAAAAAGCGTTGCAAATCAAATTGATTCAAAAAGAAGATCAAAATGATCCAAAATTTGTATCATTTTATCATCAAATTAAAAAAATATACGTCAATTGTTATTTTTTAAACTGTCAGTGTACACAACTGTCAGTGGATTGATTTATAAATAATAGATTATTTTTCTAAAATTTGCCCAAAAGACTTTTTAATCCCTTAATTAAATTAATTACCAAAATCATTTTCTTGGTCAAATTTGGTTATCATAACCAAATTTTGTTTGATCGAAATAAGGTTACTTGGAACAAGAAATTTGATAAAATTAATCCAATAATTTGTATTTTATAATCAAATAGTTTGATAAGGAAATTTGATCAATTTTTGTGTTTTTTATGACATTTTTTGTGACTATTGAACATTTCTGTCATATCATTAATTTTAATTATATTTGGATACACGGAAAGAAAAAGTCCGTCAACCATTAATGGATTAGTATATTACTTTGAGACGGGACTCTTTTTCCGTTGATGGTTACTTAACTTTACTTAACGATTGAAAACGAGTCATGGATTGATTAGAATGCCAGTATGTGACCAATTGTTTTAGATTTAATGCTGAATTGTTATCAATGGCTGTTTGAATGTTTACGAATCATTAGTGAAAGTTTGTGAAACGTTAGTTGACTCGTATTCTAAATCGGCGCTCTTCACTAGCGCATTGTTGCGCAGTGTACCGATGCGCATTTCTTCCGGTTTCTCTATAGTCCATGTGTTTTTGCTGTCTGCTATACATATCCCTATATACTATTATGTGTAATGTGAATATTTAACTTAACTAATAATTTGCAGTTGAATTGCGTCTAGAAATTGGCCTCTATGAAAATATATTTTCTTTTATATTTCTCGCTAATTAAAAAGTAGTTATTAGTGCAAAATCATTTCTCACAACCCTACTAAAAATAAAGTCACAAAACGACAAAAAAATCATCAGAATTTCTGACGTTCTGAGACTGCATTTGTTACGATTGCAGCCACATAACGTCAGGCTTGTGTCATTTTTCATCAGAAAGCTTCAAAAGTAGTCAGGTTTTTTATACAAAGTCGACACCCTCTTTTACCTGGAAAAAGGTCAACTGACCGTCATAAAATTGAAGGGAAATCTTTTTATTTGTTTATGTTTATATTTATTTAAACATTATACTTGTTTTTCATCGACTTAGAATTCTTCTCACAATATGTTCTTGTTATATAAACAATAATATATCCTTTAGAACTTAAATTCAAAAATGATATCAGTTTTTATTTATCAATTACGGTTTTCGAGATACGTTACAGTTTTCTTAAAAAAATGTTTTTCAAAATAAATTTTAGATATTTGCAATCGTGAAGATTTCTAGATTCTGAATTTATATTCATTTCACCTGAAATGTTAAAATTGCAAAACTTTTGAGCAATAAAAATCAGGTTGAAGACCCGAAGCACGTAACAATAGACCCAAAATTCTATTGTGAAAAAAGGGCTACGCACAAATTTGAAGTTTTTATGGTACTTTACATTTACCAACTATCTTTCGGTGGGGGACTGTAAATTAAAAAAATGAATTCAATGAGAAATAATCACAATCCATAAACATCAGTATTCAACAGTAGGAGCATAAAAAATCCTGTAGTCAGAATTAACCAAAAGCATCAGAAAACGTCAAAGTAGTCACAAAACATCAAAATTTCTGACGTTTTTTCATTATTCCTGATTTTATTTTTAGCAGGGAAGTTGTGAAAAATTTTGTTATTTTGTATATAAGAACAGTTCGCTTCTAAACTTAAAGTGTTATAAGTGTGCGTTTCTACGTGTAGTTATTATAAGTGCGAAAATGTGTTGGTCTAAAGCGTCTAAGAGTGTAAATAAAATATCGGAACTGTGCAACGAAAAAAATGTGTTCATTCTGTACCAAATAGTGTCTAAAATTAGGGATAATTCTGAAAGAAGTTGAATTTTTTGAATGCTTTTGATGGTCATAGAAAATTTAATAGACAGTTTTCTAAATTTTAGTGAACGAGTTTTATATATTGATGACAGTTTTCTAAATTTTGGCAAGCAACTCGTCACTGATTGTGACTCAAAGTATGTTATCCATTCAATGATTTTGTGTCCCGTCTCAAAGTAATATACTCGTCTATTAATGATTGACGGACTTTTTCTTTCCGTGTAGTTTGCAATAAGTAGTTATTTTTAATATTTATGTCAAAATAAAGTCTAAAAAAATTTTACAGTAAGTGTCTTTTTAAAAGCTAATATATTTTATTATTAATTTTGCGAAAAGTCAAATTAAACATATTTTTTAACTGTGAAAATAAAAAATCTTGAAAATAAACATGATTTCAGTTATCGCCTTTTTAGCATTTATAAAACTTGAAATTCCACTGAAAATCCTATTTCAAGAAATGAATTGTGTCGAACTTTATAAAATAAATTAAAATCTATTTATAAAGATAAAATATTGCTAAGAACCCCCATTACGGCGAAATGAGAAAGAAGTTTCTAACAAAACAATTTATTTTAAATTTTTATTATTAATTCATAAATGAACAACTCGAATTCAATATAAGTTTTAACTTATTGCTATAAAAAACAAAACTGATTAACATTTTGGCATCTCGTAAAATTTGGGTGTGATGCCTGCTTTCTCTAATACGTTTGTCACGGACAAGTATTTTGAATTTCCAGGCGAAATTCGCGAAACTTCGCTACCAAAAATTAAATATTCTAAAAGAATAAACTGCAAATTGAGATGCTTTTCATAATTGATGTTGAAAATGTAGTACGATGCCATTAATAATATTATAGCTTCAAATGGCTGTGCACAGTGCATGGGCTCAGAATCAACGTATGATTTCAGTTGGTTACCGTCTGCATCAGCTGCTATCAATATTGGAGCGGTGATTTTTGAAGGAGCCTCTTCCTATAAAAATAATTTATAGTAGTAATGATATATTACCTATATAATATATTATATAAATTATAATAGTATAACAGTAATAGTAATAAATTGAAACTGTGTAGCAGAATTTAAAAATTAATTTAATAAAGGTAAGTTGTATGAATTACTTTTAAGATTTGGTTAGTTTTGTGACTTTGAGTCGTGATGATAAAGCAGAGAATCTTATTTACCTACACAAAAAAACAATGCTGGAAACTTTACAGAACTATTACGTACTAGCGGATAAAGCAATTCACGAAACGGAGTTCTTCAAAATGTAATAAATAATACAGGATAAAATTCAGAAGATTTATAAATAATACTTGTAATTTTTTATGTTTATTCTGTATTATTCAACAGATTTTAGAAAACTCCGTTTCGTGAATAGCTGTTTCCGCTAATCTAAAACGTTCTGTAAAAATTTCCTTAATTGTTTTTTCTGTGCATATAGAACGAAAAAAATGTATTTATAAATTATGCAATACTACTGTCCTGAAAATAAGTCACTATCTATATTTTTTACGAAAGATAAGTTTTATTTCAATTCTTTGGGCTAATCTATATGTTGTGTCCATTTTACCTAAGAACGATGAATTTTTCCAAAAAATTTAATATAAGAAATGGAACTAATGCAAACGCGTTTCATTAAATATCTCCATTTGACTTAAATATTGTAGATAGTGCCTTTTTTATCAGGACGACAGTACACAGTAAAAAGTAAATCTTAATTTAAGATCAGTCTTAAATTCAACACTATCTGCTCTAATGTTAAATCATACAAAATCCATTACTTAAATTCAGCAATGACTGCCTTTAAAATGTTGAGTCTTAATTTAAGACTGCCTTCCTGTCTTAAAATAAGACTTTCTTTTTACTGTGTATAATAACAAAGACAAATATGATAATTAAAAAAAATGTTAAGTAAGTGTTGTAGGTACTAAAGGCAGAGATTGTTTCCAAATATTCGGCGACACTAGACGTTACAATTATATGAAAATGATTTCTACATGTATCGCTCCGAAATTCTACATAATAATTACTCTTAATTCCATTTCCAGCAAAGAGTGATTCTGTTGTTTCTTTTTGCCATTAGAAGGAAACAAATCCGGCAGGTATTTTAGGAGGTGTAGTGCCTTTCTATTAATGTCACCTTCAGTAGTTTTCACTTTCAAAATCGTCAGCATTTTGTCAATTGAAATCGTCAAATTCAATCGCATGTCCTTCACGCGAACCTGCACAAGTTGTTCGAACTCCCAAATGAACTGAAAATAATAAACCTTATTATTAAAAATAATAAATATTTTAATGTTTTACTCTATTTATAACGAAAACTTGCTTTCAATATTAGAATAATTAATTATATTTAAAGAATTTTTTTTCACATTTCTCAATGTAGTTGTTTTATTTAATAGTTGACGAGTTAATAAATTTTGTGAATGATCTAATAGTACATTTCGTAACAAGTGTGAACTGATGTAGTTTTTGAAACGAGCGCAATGTTTTTGGAACGAGCTGTAGGCGAGGCGCCGAAGGCGCCGAGCCGGAAGCGAGTTCCAAAAACTGGCGCGAGTTTCAAAAATCAGTTCAAAGGAGTTACGAACGATACTTTTCATAATGAAGTCATAAAAAAGGGAAATGTTACAAAACATTGCCAGCAATATACTATGAAGGCCTCATAAAGTTTCTGTCGCGCGGGGTCCAGGGGCGGAGCCCCGGTCGGGGGGTTCGGGGGGCGAAGCCCCCCGACCGCAAAAAACCAACTTAAAAGAATAATAATTTTCGACATTTCAAAGAACGGCATTTCATAATACGTAAAGCCACCGGACGCGTCGGGGGGCGAAGCCCCCCGAAACCTAGTCGTGTACTTAGACGAATTAATAAAAATAATATAAATGTTATGAAAAAATAAAATGTTATGTACTTGTATTATAATCATCAAACTTTATTTATTATTAAAATTAAATATAATTTGTTTTTACAATAATTTTTTAATTATTAATTAAAGCTTTAACGTTTGGTAATATTAATTGGCAAATCAGTCTTCATCTTAATATTACACATCACAATTTTTAAAACTTAAATTTAACTTTAATACTGTAAACAAAAAATGTTACTTATTATAAGTAATAGTAACATTGGTACAATTTTCAATCACAATTTTTCCTGGCGAAGGATTGTTTACTCCCAGATTAAAGTTTTCAGAATTAGAAATGCGAAGTTTTTTCGAGGGAGCAGTATTCTCAGAATTATTATCATTTTGGCCACCAATTATGGCATTGGAAATTCTCTTAGCAGTCTTTTTTTTATACTCTGTGGAATCTTCTACATATCCTTGAGCCACTCCTGCGGATTTCCACCCTCCAAGGCGCTGCAAATCCATTGTAGAAACTCCCGTATCTGCATAAATTGTAGCAGATGTTCTCCTAAACGAATGCCCTGTATATTCTCCTGCATTCTCTAACTTTAGAAATTGTGCAATTAATTTAGGAATTTTTCCTGCAGTATTAATTCCAATCACTTGTACACTGCATTTTCCATTGTGATACTGCAGGAAAAAATTTTCTCTCGGTACGTTTAAAGGACGAAGGGCTATATATTTCTCAATGACTGGTACAAATTTAGGATCAACAACAAATCGCCTGGGAACATTGTTCTTTGTATCAGGGATGATCACTTCGAGAAGCTCTCCTTGTTTTTTTGTCACCCATTTTAATTGAATAAATTTCTTGCTTCCGGCAACATCCACTGAGACCAAAAATCAGAACAACCTGTAAATCATATTACACTATTTTTAATATTGATTTTTATGCTATTTGATTAACTACATATTATTATTTTTATTTCTTTTATATATAAATTGGTGTTTATTATCATATTATAAATTATTTCATATTTATTACTGACTTTTTACAATTTATAAACTATATTTATTTTGTTTTTTATTTAATTTTTATTTATTTATTATTATACTATTTAATATTTATTATTTACTATTTACAATTTATAAATTATATTTATGTTATTTCATTTTACTTTTATTTTTTATATTTATTAATTATTTTATATTTATTTTTTTTCAGAATTTATTATATTTATTTCTTAAAGTAATAGTGAATTTTCTTTACCTTTGCTGCTAGATACATTTCATTTGGCGCAGTTTCCAAAAATAAGTTTCATTTCATTTCATTTCATTTATTATAAACGGGTCATGCCCTTTCATACATAAGTATTCATAAAACTAAAAGTTACATAATCTTGTAACATACAAGTAACTTATCTAATTTATATTAACTAAGTCGACAGTTGATTTCAGCAGTAGAGAAAACTTTTGCTTTTTTCGATTTGTAGCCTCGAGAGTTTTGACTGAGTAGTGCAGATAATTCCTTATAATTATGAATTGAAATTTTTTCGTTAATTTGAATCGTACTTTTTAATTTGGAATAAATTGACCAAATGGTGGATGGTTTGTAATTTTTAATTAAATCCTTGAAATAAACCTTCAAACAATTTTCCGATGTGATTAATTGCGTTGTTTGACTCTTTCCACTGAACGAACTTTTTGTACGCGTCTTCGTATGTGTTTTTCGATTTCTTAGGTAATAAATCGCTGCTCATTTCCTCTGCTTCTTTTCGAATTTCCGGCGGCGTGCAACATTCACTGTCGCTACTTTCCATTTTCTAATGATACAAATTTATAATATTTAGTTTAATTGTGACAGAATAGAGGTTATGTTTTTTATTTCAAGTTCAAATTATCATCATCATGGTGAATTTTTCGTATGAAACTTAATTTAAGCAAAAAACTTTATTTACAATGCACATAATGACCACGATGTAAGATTGTTGAAATTAAAGATATAAATTTTATACTTACTATTGTCAATATAACCTGGAGTAGATGAAAAACGTTTCTTTCGATTGAGTTTCGCGTTAATGGTAATCGAGAAGGTTACGTATTCAAGCTTCGTTTAGCTACAGTTAATTTCAAAAACATTGACTATGTTCTGTTGGTAAAACAGTGATGTTAAAAAGTAGACGAGAGTGTGGAACATGCACAAACAAGGCTCTTTTTTGAACTCTGACGTCACACAGTGCTACTAGAGTCTCTTTTAAGAACCATTCGTAAAAAAACCATTTTCTGCTTATCGACGGAGGGACGAATCACGCGTTTTTTATGACTCAGTTATGAAAAAATAGAATATTCACTTTAAAGGGCAAAAACTGCCCCCGCATCTATTTTTGTCAAATTTGGCCCATATATTAATGTCCATATGACTATAACTTTCTGCAATTTCGAACTCAAAATTCGCTTTTTTGGGGGAGTTATGGAGGGGGAACGAAAAATCAAAAAACTTATTTTTCTCGAAGACTACTGAACCGATTTTAATAAAATTTTAAGAGGTTGAAAATATAGACAAGACAATTTTAGTAAAAAAAAATCAAAATATTTTTTTCAAAAAAAGTCAAAATTTTTTTTTTTGAAATTTTCAAAATTTCAAATTCAAAATTTGTAACTCAAAATTTTGATTTTTTTTAAATTTTTGGAGGGGAAAAAATCGAAAAATTCATTTTTCCCAAAAACAAATGTATGCATTTTAATGAGGTTTAGATATGTTGAAAAGACAATTAAAGAGATTCCAAAAAAAAAAAATTTATTTTTTTTCAAATTCCAAAAATCTTTTTTTTCAAAAATTTCAAAAAATTTTCAAAAAAAAATTTGTTTAGTTCTATTGAAGTGAAATTTTGATGTATTTTCTCATTTCATTCTCTTATGTGATCTACTTAATAAAAAAATTTTGCCCGACTTTGTTTACATTTTATGAAAATTTTTGGAAACTTACTAATTCTTTATCATTCAAAGCTGGATATTTGTTTAATAGGTCTTTAGCTGACAGTTTTTTTAATTCATTTAATTTTATTTCTCGGGTCTCTCTTAGTAAACCTTTAAGTTTTGTTACATCCTTCTCTAGATCTGAATACTCCTCTACCATTTCTGTGCACAAATCATTCAAACGATCACTATCATTATTGCTAGACTGAACCGTTTTTTTCACTCCCTTAATTGGATCAGGTTTTTTTTATTCGGAATATGATCTCGAGTAGTTTTATTTTTAATGCAATTAGTTAATGCTTTTATCATTCTTTCCTGAAATACAATTAAAAAGAAGGTTATGCCTTTGACCATAATTGTCAAAATTTTATGAAAAAATCGTAATAAATTATATTTGCTTATTATTTTAAATATTCGCATTTTGATGAATGTGTTCCAGTGTATGAACAGGGTTGCCACAGGTCAGGGAAATCAGGGAAAGTAAAATTGGTCAGGGAAGTCAGGGAAAAGTCAGGGATTTTTATTTAAGTAACTGGAAAAAATTTAATTTTGGAGAAGTTACAAATTATTGCAGAAATTCAATTATTTTCAAAAGTAATAAAATTCTTCTTAAAAATTCAATTATGTTCAAAAATTAAAAAAAATTCTCGTCAAAATTCAATTATCATTAAAAATAATAAAATTCTTCTCCAAATTTCAATTATTTTCAAAAATTTTTAATAAAATTCTTCTCCAAATTACAATTATTTTCAAAAATTTTAATAAAATTCTTTGCAAAATTTCAATTATTTTCAAAAAATTTTTCTCATTTCAATGATTTTCAATAAAATTTTTTTTTAATAAAATTTTTCAAAAGAATTCAATTATTTAAAAAAAAAATTTTGATAAAATTCTGAGCAAACTTTGCAATAATTCAATTATTTTCATAAATAATAACATTTTTTACAAAAATTCAATTATTTTCATGAATAATAAAATTCATCATAGAATTTCAATTATTTTTAATACAATTTTAATTGAATTTCTCGAAAAAATTCAAATTTGTTGATAAAATTTTTTATGATAATTTAGTTTCGGAAAACATTCATTTATTTAATAAATTATTTATTTTTGTATTTAAATAATTGAATTCTTGTAGAATTTTCCAATAAAAATTCATTTGAAAATAAATGTTAGTTAAAATTTTAGATAATAATTGAATATTAAAAGCATTGTAGCATGAATTTTTAAAAATACATAATTGAATTCTTTCGAAGAATTTTAACAAAATTTTTGAAAATAGTGACATTTTTCGAAGAATTTACTTAAAATTGTATTAAAAATAATTGATATCCTGTGAAGAATTTTATTAATTTATGAAAGTAATTGAATTCTTGCAATGAATTTTTTCAAAATCTTTTTTAAATAATTGCAATAATGTAAAGAATCTTATTATTTATGAAAATAATTGAATTCCTGCATCGAATTTTATTACATTTTTTAAATTAATTGATTTCTTTTGAAAACTTTTATTAATTAAAGTAGATTGTAAAAATATTTGAATTTCAACGAAGAATTTCATTAAATTCGTGAAATGTAATAAAATTCTTACAAAAAAATTAAGAGAATAATTCTATTTTTCTAGGGATTTACTTTAAATTGTATTATAAATAATTAAAATCCTCAGAAAAATTTTATAATTTATGATATTTATTCTTATAAGTTGTTGAATTTTAAAAATGTTTGAATTTAAATGTTTTGAAGAATTTTAATTCCTATGGAAAAATAATAATTAAATACTTATTTAAAAATTTAGTTATTAATGTTTGCGAATAATTTTACAATTTAAGAAATTCGTAAGTAAATGTAATAGAATGTTTTTTTTGAGTATCTAATAATTTTTAGAGTGAATCAGAATGTTCTTTAGTGTCAGGGAAAAAATCAAAATTTTGTCTGAAAATCAGGGAAAAGTCAGGAAAAAGTAAAATTAAATATTTGTGGCAACCCTGATGAAAATAAAAGTGGGGGAAGGCCCAAGAGTCAGTCAGAATTGGGATGCATTATGACGTAGAAAATTTGTCGTGAATTCGGAAAGTTTTTGCAAAGCAATAATAGAGAGTGAAAATCGTACAATTAGTTTTATGTATGTGGCTGATGAGCCGATTATAAATAAAAGAGAGTGTCTTAATTTTGTTATAATAAAAATATGACTAATTTTTTGTTAAAACCTAAAAAATATTGCAAATTGGATATTTTTTACTATCCAATAAAACTAAAAAACAATGTAGAAATAAATTTTTTAAAGTTTTTTTGAAGTATATTGACTTTTAAATAAAAAGAAATTTATTTTCTGAACTGTAATCGAAAACTTGAAAACTACTGTGTAGAAAATGTTCTACATAATACTGGAAGTTATACATTTCTAAATATGATTTTTTTTAATTAAACTGCGGTAAAAACTTAAAAATAAACCAGGAAAAAATTATCCATATTATTTAAATTTATCGTCTTTACAATAAAATAAAAAATTCTTTCTCGAATTTTATTCGACTTGTTGACCCCAGTTTAGAAATGAAATTTTTTTATTTAAAAGTCAATGGTCATACGTAATTAATTTTATAAAATTTTATAGAATATTACACTTTAAAAAGAAACAATAGTACTTACGTTATCTCCTCCAAAACTTCCCTTTAAGCTTGGAAATTTGTCAATGTCTAATGATGTTATTTGAATGATGTCAGTCTTTGAACTGCAATTCGCCTTAATCATTCGGTCACACAAAATCCGCATAACCTTGTTAAACTCCTTTCTTTCCATCGATGTATAGAGTCCCATCTTATTATCAATTTCGGGAGTTTGGTAAAATGAATCAGGTATTAAACTGGATAATTTATTCTACACAAGAAAAATTTTTGTTATTGTTACATAAAGCGTTCCACAAAACTGTTTGATTATTACAAATTAAATAAAAATCACCTTCTATATTTTTCAGAAACTTTGCATTCGTTACTAATTATTCTCTATCACTAGTCTACAGCAAAATTGCAAATTGAACAAAACACTTTTTTCCGATTAGTAGGTATTTTTTAGTAAAAAAGGCATATTTGAAATTTTTTCGAGATTTTAAGTCACTTAAGCACACCTGCATGAAAATGAAATGAAAATTGACAATTACAGTCGATAATTAAATAAAAATATTTTTGTTGATTTTTAGACTCTTGGGTAAATTTTGAAAATTTTATTTAAGGTAAACAATAATAAATGTTTAGGTTTATAAGTTTATTTAGTGAACGAAACTACTTTTGGTTTTTGGGTTCGTTAATTACTAATTCAACATTAATTTTCAAAATCACAAAATAATGTATGAAAATAAAAAATTTACTATGAATTTTGTAGATTACCATCTACAAAATTTTCAATTATTTATTAAATTTATATAATTGTTTTAATTATAATATTATACTATATACAAATACAAGACAAAGGTCTATTCCTGTTAATATTGTCAAAATAATTGTTAATACGGTAATCCGATATTTGGAATTCTAGGGTTCGTAATCAGCGAGCCCAAAAACCCTTAAGTAGAAATTTTCATAAAGTTAGCTGGAATTATTTAATTTATCCACCTCATTGGATCCGAAATTTTGAAATCATAAAACCAGAGGTTTTCATACTTGAAAAGTTTTGTTTTGTTCGATTGTCAAAAAAGTTTTTAATTTGTAGACCTGTGAATTCGACCAATATCAATAAATAAAACAAAAAAATAATTATAAACAAACTAATATTAATTCAGAGTCATCACAAAAATTTTATTTTTTATTCTTCTGATCCTTCACTGATTTCTAAATGTAATTATTTAAAACTAGAATAATTTCGTTAAATAAATATGTAAATACTTCTTGTTTATTTTTATATGAGAATAAAATTTTAAAAATTTCTATTTAAAACCTGATTATTTTCTGAATCTTTAAGAATTTCTACTTGATTATCTATAATAATCATACATATTTAGATTTGTAGGTATTCAGAAAAAGAATTTTGGGTGGTAGAACATTTGCAATTATAAAATATTATAAATTGTTGAGGATAAGTAATAATTACCTACACTCAACCACGTAGGAAAAATGTAGTTTAAATAAAGTTTAGTTAATAACAAGTTAAGTTGATGATAAAATAAATTATTTTTATTTACCTAATTTCATATGTTTTATTGGGACACAGCCACAATAAAAGCATAAATTGTCCTTCGCATAGCAATATGTGGGGCACTGCTTACAATCACAGCCACCCCTTTTCACCCCAAACAAATCTACATTGCTCATTTCTGAAAAATAATTTTTGAATTTTAATACTTAAGTATTATTATTCTTGAATTTCTTATTAACTTAATATTTTTCTTTTTAAATAAAAATATTAAAGATATGCGATTATAATTCTATTCATTAGAATTAATGTTAGTCTTAAAAGTTATTATATAGTTTCACGGAAGGAATATTACTTTTAAAGAATCAATTTTAATTTTTATATCAAAAACAGCAAACAAAGTTTATTTTTTTTATTTTATTTTATTTTTTTTTTTAAATCGTGTTAATTTGTTAACTTTGACTAAAATAAATAATTATAAACAATTGAAAATTTAAAAATCGGCCTCGAGGGATCTCTTAAGAATTTAGTTCTCTTTAATTAAAAAAAAAAAAAACTCAAATCGGTTAAAAATTGTAAGCTGTAGACATTTTTGAACAGTAAATTGTAAAAAAATCCCACTGTGGGACGCACAGACGTATGCGCGTTGCTTTCTTGTGTGTGTTGCCGTCGTCTTTCCACACACACGTACAATCTCTCAATGTAATTTTTAGTTGATGTTTTAATATTTTAGAATTACGCTTACAATATTCAGTTATTAACATAAAATTTGAATTTGATGGATTGGATTCATTTACGTATTTTGGCAGCAACATTGCGCCTTATTTATGTTTTTCAGAATATAAATTTTCATATTTATTATTTGTTTAGGTAATATTGCCGCAAGGTTTGATGCAGGCAGCATTGATGGCGCCTGTACAATTGTTAATAACTATTTATTATATTTGTTATTTAGTAAAAGGAGGAAAGAAATAATAATTTCTTTTGTCCTTTGAACTATTTAATAAGCATTTCTTAGTTAAAGGCATTCTTATAACGAGATATTTAACGTTATCAGGGTGTCAAATATCCTCAAGCATAGCGTCGCTGCGTAGCGACGTTCTAATGCTTGGGCTGACTTAAAATTAATATTTATCCTACATGGTTGCCAAATAACCTATTAAGATTCTAACAAATCAATTTTAAATCTGTAACGTCTAATTATTTTTAAAAACAGAAAAAGTTTGAAATAATTAAAATCTTTTCAATGCTGAAGAATGACATTCAGAATTTTCTTACGAATTCTTAAAATTAAATATTATTCCAGCACTTTTGATAAAATTCCCTGAATAAATTTATAAAAATAGTGATTTTGTGTAGAATTCTTCGGAATAATTGAATTTTTGAATGTTAATGACATAAAAATAATATTAATTAATTTTAACTAGAAAACTATTAGAAAAACAAAATAACATATAAATAATTAATTGTAATTAAATGTAATTTATTTCTGATAATTAATAAGTCAAAAATAATGTAATGAACATGTCTTCCATTATCGTCTTACTGGTATTCACGCTGTAAATGAAAAAACTCAGGAAGCAAGGTTTCAACAAAAACTTTTATTTTATTTTAACAAATTTATTTTACGAGAACGATCGCGCGCTGCCGCGCGCGCGTTTTTTCTCTTGCATTTTTATTCTTTAAATTACAGTCTTTTGTTTGTTAAGGTATCAATTTGAGTGACAGTTTCTGATAATAGGAATTTTTAAATATTATTCAATTTAATAAAATAATAGCCTATGTTGTGCGTAAAACAATTTTTATACCTTTACAATTCTAGTTCTGTTTTTATCTGTTTCTAAATGTATCATTTCTAAAGTTTATGTTTTTGATAAAAAAAACAACACTTTTCTTTGCTTAAAGAAAAGCGTATATTTCAAGAATGGCACATTTTATAGTTCTGTTTTTATCTGTTTCTAAATGTATCATTTCTAAAGTTTATGTTTTTGATAAAAAAAAACAACACTTTTCTTTGCTTAAAGAAAAGCGTATATTTCAAGAATGGCACATTTTATAAAAAGTTTTGTACGATGAAGTTATAGAAAACCTTTTTATAATCAAAGTAATCTATTTGTTAATTAAATTTTGTAACATTTAAAATCTTCCATAGTAAATTTATATTTTAAAAAATAGTGATGAAAGAAAAACGTTACTAAATAAACAATTTTTAACTATTTTTCACTTAGCTAGCAAAAAAACATCTCTACTGTCAAAGAAAGCCATAAACAGAGGATATTGAATTAAAAATTTACTTTTGTTTCTTAAAATCGTTCCTACTTTTGCTATAAAAAAGAAATATAAGTGTGGTTTCTGTAAATATTATACAAAAAATGTAAGTACTCCGTCATTTCGAAGAAAATAATTTATTTCAATATATGCTTTTCTATAAGATTCATGGGATGCAAAATTTCGTTAATAATCTTGAGAAATATTATCTTTAAACTTTTTTCAAAGTTCATTTGGATGAACTGGTTGGCAGTACATTAAAATACGTACAAATAAGTGTCTTAATTATCTGAAGTTTGAACTATTATTTGAAATTAGGAAATTAAAACGTCTTTGACCAATTGATAAGAAAGAAACGTGTAAAGAAATCTTACGTGTGAATCTTATTACAAAAAAATAACGTAATTTACCAATAAGAAGCGTCGAAGAAAGTCTTACGCGTAAAGACAGCCATACTGTGACACACTCCTTTTTTAAGAAAAAAAATATATAACGACTCAGACATTTTTATAGAAAAAATATTTACTTTTATTTCAATAATTCAGTGTTAACATAATTCTTGATTAGTAAATTAGGTCTTTGATTTCCTAAATATATAATTAATGATTCCCAAGATTTAACTCGTGAAAATGCAACATATACTTGCCCATGATTAAATACATTTTTACGAAGGTCTACACCAATCTTGTCAAAAGTTTGTCCTTGGCTTTTATTTATTGTTATTGCGAATGCTAATTTTATAGGAAATTGCCGTCGTTTGAAAGTAAAAGGATAAATATCCTCACAATACAGCGTAATACGATTTATAAATACAATATCTCCAACCTTATCACCTGTTAAAATACGACAACGTAGCAGATTGTTTGATAATTCTAATACCTGCATTCGCGTTCCATTACATAAACCTTCATTAATACTAAGATTTCGAGGTAGCATGACAATACAATTGGCTCTTAATCGTAATTCATAAGGCGGGAAATTTGATGGATTTAAAGTATTCAAATACTCTGGTAAAATAGCATCATTTATACTTCCATTATCACAATTTTCGGTACTATCAACACTTGTATAAATTCGCTCACTTTTATTATCAAACAGTTCGAGTACCTTGTTGTTAATTTCATCAACATCAACATTTCGAGCAGACAATATTGCTACTTTTGCTAAATCATCGTATTTATTATTGATAATTAATTCTCCAAATATTTTATGAATGATATCACCATTTTCTACACATTGCTCTGGTGCTAGTATATTATTATCATTATCATTTAAAGTACCATTTCCAACTGATAATAAATATTCTGAAAATTCTTTTTCAGCAGGTAAAGTTCTCATATTTTCTGTTAATGATATCACCTTAAAATGACTCCATAATGTGCTAGATTTAATAGATAAATTAACTAATTTGCTTCTAGTAGCATTAACTTTAACAGGCAATAATTATCTAAAATCACCACCCAAAAGCATAGTTTTTCCACCAAATGGCATATCAACATTCATAAAATCGCGTAATGTTCTATCAATTAATTCCATAGCATATCTTGACGGCATTGGAGCTTCATTCCAAATAAAGACATCAACCTCTTTCAAAAATGTAGCTTCCTTAGATTGACTTTTAATATTTGATGTAGAATCATAGAACAATGGAACAGGCATCCCATGGAATTACATAACATGGAATTTCTGCATATGTATATTGTCTAGCTTGTGGATCACGCCTATTTAAATCGAAATATTCTAATAACATAGTCCGTTTCTGTAAAGCTTCATTTATAGCATCATCATTTGCTTCTTCACTAATGGTTACAGTATGCCGATTAATTAAATGAACAGGTAATCGGAGAATAGAATGACTTTTACTCTGTATTTTCTCGCTTTTTTTGTTGATATTTTTTTTGATAAGCAGCTTTTTTTTGATGTTTTATGATTTTATATTTTTCCTCTTCTTCAGGAAAATGAACCATAGCTCTTTTTTCTCCTTGCTTCTCAGTTATTATTAATCTTGTATCTTTCATTCCATTGCTTGAATCAATAGAAATATTATTAACATCATTTGCTGAAATTAAAGGCAAATCTTCTAAACTATCAACAAAATTTTTTTTACAAACATTGCTGGTTGAATTCAACGATGATAAATTATTGTCAACAATTTTATTTTCTTCATTTTGGAAACTTTTTTCTCTAGCTCGATTCCTAAGAAGACACTCCCAATTACATTCAACAGTCATAGTTCTAATATTAGTCGACCTTACTGGCGGAAATTTACTTAAACGATTGTTTTTGAACATTAACATTAAATGATTTCTCATGTTATAATAATAGTAATTGACAGAGTGGGGCATAATATTAAAAAATATCGATGTTGCGAATGCTATTGCATATATTCCACAAGCAAGACTATTGTTTGGTTGTTGATCAACAGTTGTGAAAACTACTGGAGGTTTAAAAGGATATAATCTACTTAAATATTTCCTTTGATCTTCATTTAAACATCCTTCATTAAGACTATCATAAATATAAAGTCTCATTCCATCATAATAAGTGCAAATCCAATGACCTTTCTTGATAGGTCCACTAAAAAGTATTTGATTATGCTTTTTCCCTTTTTCAATCGGACTAATAAATTCAAGCGTATAAAAATACAAAGTGCTTTGCATGCTAAAAGCAGAATTTGATTCCCTTCTCAATAATTTTTCGAATTCATCAATATGAGTATCATTTAACATTCCTCCTTCAGTAAGTATAATATTAAAATCTGTAACACTTAAATTAACAGTTCCTTCTTTGTTCGACATGATTTCTTTCAATTTATTGAAAAGATATCGCTTCTAAAAAATAGTTTTTTATAAAATTAATTAATTCAGAACACATGTAAATAATGTTACTATTGTCACATTTAACAGTAACTGG